CTCGACTAACAAAATTACATGAATTCACAAATAACCTTATAGTCATAATCTTAGCTGAAGTGAAGTTAACTAATCCACAAAAGCGGGCCAGGGTGGCGGACGCCGTAGTGAAGAAAAATGTATAGTATTGATTGACACTGATCAAACAAATGCATATGATGTAAAAAAAGAAAAAAAGGAATTAATTGGGGAATGAGTCCCATTTTCTGTCTCATTCATTTTTTCCTTTGTTGTGATTGTGATTATAATCTTTTCATGTTATCAATGCTATTATAATCATCACTTTGTGTATCATCATTAGGATAATTGGTATTTTTGTTTTCATCTTCATCATCATGTAGAATGCCCAAATATAACTTTTAAAAACTCTTGGTACATAATTTCGGTGGATGGAGAGCCCTGGTACTGGGGCAGACACACTTGCTCAAGTCTAGGAGGGGACCTAGTTTCCTTTGAAACCCAAGAAGAATGGAGTTTAATTAATGACGAAATTCAAAGGCGAAATACTACGAACTATGAAAATAAATGGAGAATTGGTTTAAGAAAAAGGGCCAGGAATTGGACCTGGGTGAGTGGAAGACCGCTGACTATTTCCAAATGGGGACAAGGGGAGCCAAGTGGTGAACACGACGCCGCTTTCATGTACAAGAGGTTCCGTAATGGTGAACGGGGCGTGTTTGGAAGCCACAATAATGAAAATAATTGGAAAAAACCGCACGCTTATATTTGTGAGATCCCCAAGGGTGAGTTGATATGTTGTTGTTGTTGTTGTTTTTTTTATGTTATTTTGAGTAAACTCAAAGGCACTAGAAGCGCTTAAGGGCAATATAAAACATTATTTGCTAACGTTTGTGGTATTCTCGAGAGAAATTATAAAAACCCTCACACAGTCAAAATCAAGTTTACACTTACCTTTGCGTAAATTGAAATATTTTTGAAACAATATCAATGAACGTTTTCACGATATACATGTCTAACTTTAACCTTGTGAACAGGGGAAAGTTACAGATGGTTCTGTTACAATCACTTTTACGAATAACAACAGTTATGAAACTGATGGCGAATACCAATTGCAAAGAATTATCAGTCCAATTGCTTTGTTAGATGATAACGCGTGATGATGTGAAGAGCGTTATCTTTTTGTGAAGAGTTCGTGACTCATGTCGGTTAAGAACCATGCCAATTATCGTTTTCTAAAACAAATACAACAGACTTGCAGACTTATTTGTTCTTCGGATAGGGGAATCAATTTTAAGTCTACTGTGTTCTATTTTAATATCCGATCGTTTGAACTGTGAAGTTGTAAGGGCTAATTTCAATGCAATGCAGAATGTGCAGTGAGCATAATAAACTGACCATCGTGCATCTAATTCGAATATGGCGGACATTTCGATCGACTCAGCAACCATCACTCTATAACGAGGTTGGTAAGGATTACCTCAGTTCTCATATATCCTCAGAGGGCATAGATGCACTTTCTTGTCTAAAAGATAGTCAATTAAAAATTGGTTCATACGTCAGCGAGATATGAAGCACGCGGGAAGTTTGGAGAGCACGAAAGATGCGTAAGAGTTGCTCGAGGCTACGCCTCGAGCAACTCTAGCTTCTTGAGTGGAAAATGTATTTTCCCGAGGGATTTGTTTGCTGACGTCACGAGCGTGCACAATAGGAATATGAAGCACGTTCGCGCAATTGAATTTGATTAGACAAATTTACTTGCTATGTTATAATACTGGGAAAAGTCTACAGAATATGTTTCATTCTCTAGTATTTTGGTGTGTAGTTTTCGAAAAACATCCTACAGCCCTATCTAAGCAATAATCACACAAGACGTGCCAAAGATGAATAAAATGCCAAAGAAACAATAGGAGCTTTCTGTATAACTGATAAAAAATCGGGTGCGTTTAAGAGTTCTGAACGTTATTAGCGGCCATTTTGTTACTCCCCTTTCCGTCCGCAGTTTTGCCCTCGCAGTGTAATAGTAAGGCAATTTTTTTGTATGATGTGGTCTTGATTAACATTTTTCTTTAAAGATCCTTCAATATCTTCAATAACTTCGTCGCCTTTACTATCACCCAGAATAGCAACCTCACCATCACCATCGGCACCGCCATCGTCGTCGCCGTCGCCACGACCATCGCCCTCGTCATCGCCATTCCCCTCGCCATCACCATCGCCACCGCCGTCGCCGTCGCAATCACCATCGCCATCGCCATCACCAGTTGAGCAGCTGGTATGTTCTCTAAATAGTCATTTACCGTTTTTATGCATGTCGTTTTTCAGGATCTCTTCTGTTTACAAACGTGAGAGACAATATTTTTAATTTTAGGCAAAGGAGTATGTTTCAAAATTTGGCGGAATAAATATTACCAGAAGGACTTCCCTACAGGTATCTAATTCTATATGACTTAAAGGCTTTTTAACTTTGGTATATGTTTTTAAACGATAAAAAAGTAAATATCTGACCTTTAAGGATAAACCACCATTAAGCCATATGAGGTAGAAATGGTGAAGCTTAAAAAATAATCCAGGCTCCCAAAAGAGTTCTCTGGCCAATGAATACCTTGGACACCATTTGGATCCTTAGTATGAATTGTATATACAGTATGAGACTGCCTTTTTAATGACCTGGAAATATTTTACGTAATTGTAGGTGGCTGTTACTGTGTTTGAGGATTTCACCTTAAAAATCAAGAACGTCATAAAAGACAAGGCCGGCATAGAAGAGGTTAAAACACTGAAAACATCCATCTTTGAGGTGGCAGAGGCCGTTGAGAAATTTGCTCTTAATTACGGCAACCGACACCTGAGAGGAATGCGGCTTTCAGAAAGGATCGTTTCCCCCAAAATGGGTGAGTTTGCGGCCTTCAATCCTGTTTAGTTTCAAAGTCTATTCCTCTGTTACTTACTAACTTGCTGACTGTCCCACTGAGTTGTCTAATTTCCTATGGCATGATGTAAGAACTCAGCTATTAACCCAACTTATCAGAAATGTTATTGTTGGATGTCATCGATTCATCTGTTTTTTTTTTTTCAATTTGTTTGGTGGAGAAGGAAATTGAACGTTCTCTTAAACAATCAACAAGAGAGAATAGGAATCCTTCAAATTGTGAAACCGTTCTTCTCGATCTGTTTATTGAAACTTTTCTTAAATAATAGATTGGTGAGTAACACTTTACTAACTAAAATTGTCAAATCTTAGAAATACTTTCCGCTTACTTCATACCGTACACTGAGCTCAAAATTGGCCAATCGTCTGCGATGCACATAAATGCAAGATTTTTAACCGTACTCGTAAAAATTTCCTAATGAACTCTGTAGTTCTCTAACGAAACGGTTCGAGGAACGAATTGAGTTTTCACAATTTTAGTCCGTGCAGTACTACGCACTTTTTCATCAGTTTTACATTGAAAAAACGTTGTAAAATAGTTGAATTCGTCGAATAGTCGTTGAAGGGCAAATAGGATACAAACAATACACTTCCATCCAATAAGATTATGAAATATTTGTGTACACCGCAAAACGCATGTTTGTGTGGGTGCGCTATTGCAAATTTCACCGTAGGTGCTTTCATTTGTCATTTTTTTCTCTCCGACAGTTTTGGTCATTCAAAAAGCCTATCACTTGAATGCAAGTGGCTTCGACTTTGAGGAACAACAATGGCGAGCGAGAATCGATATCGCTTCTTCAAATTTTGAGGAAAATGGTTCGTATTAACTACTGTGGTAACTTTACAACTTTTAGTATTACCTTGGTTTCTCCAATAGCAATTTCTTTATTCTTTATAAAGCTTCATGTAAAGGCGCTTCCTTAGTTTACATAGTCTATCTTCTTCAATCATTCGCCTTCCCTAAAATGTCACATACCTCAGAGCCTGATAAACTTTTCAATATTGTTCTTTTGTTGTTGTTTAAAAACATTTTTAGTTGATTCTTGGGGCGTTTAAAGGATCAATGGTAGTTGCGTTTTTGTACAAGGATCTGCATGACCTACTTCTGACAGATCAAGCCATAAGGAGTGAAATAGACAACCAAAGGTGACGTTATTTTCATATTACTCCATGTCGTTTACCTCTAAAAACACATAACACGGAAACACATAAGATCTAAGTTCAGCTAAACTGAACTGACACACTTTCCAAAAACCCTAACTAAGGTTGGAAGACTCCCTGCTTGTCTCTGACCATTCCACCTTCATGAAAAATTGGCTAATTGAATCTACCAAAAATATGTAATATTGCTTCCGTGGTTCTGGTCCATTTTTAAATACAATTTCTTCATAGGTATATCAACTCCAGGATAATGGCCGTAACTATGGACCCCAAACCAGAGAAATTGCGAGAAAATGTCATCCTAAACTTCAAAAACCTAAAGGTAACATGAAAATTAGCTGCTATGCGTTGTTTTGATTTATTCTGACAAGATAAAATCTATTTTCAGGTCTTGACAGCAGAGAAGCGCTGTATGTTTTGGAGTAGCCGCAGCAAAAGGTAAAAAAACTACAATATATAATTGCATAGTATTTATTCCTTCTTAAATTAAATTGAGTATGTAGGACAATGAATGAACTTTCTCAGATGTTTTTGCGCAGATTAACACTTTCCTGGAAGCCAACATGTTGTCGTTTTTAGAGAATGGAAGTCTGATTGAAATGTTCTCGCAAATATGACTACAGTGAAGAAAATCTTAGCGCAAAATTCTCAAACATCACCTTTTACCCAAACGATGAATAATTTTTTAACTTTACTCTTTTTTCATGTGTGACAGCTTTTCAGAGGAAGGTTGTCATGTAGTTACGTCAAAAAGTAACTCAGAAGAAACAGTTTGCAGTTGCAATCATTTGACGCATTTTGCTGTCTTACTGGACTACGACGGTAGCACAAAGGTAATAAAGTTATTTTTGCCTTACTTAATAGTTTTATGGGCTCAATGAACTAACTCAATGTTGTCCTTTAATTTTTCTTTTTTGACTTTTGAGACACAGCTCACCTGAGGAGGACGAAAGAATTTCTGAAAATTATCACCTACGTGGGACTGAGCCTTTCCATAATCGGGATACTTTTAACATTAATACTTTATTCTTGCCTCACGTAAGCAATGCACTCGATTAATAATGAGGTAGATTCTTAACTCCCCTCAACAAGGCTGGTGATAAAAGAGATCTCAATGTCAGTCTCCATGCAAACAAGAACAGTCATGTCGGATAATTCACAAACTCAATCTACATTTCATGCCCCATCACGAACTTTTGAACAACTAATGGTTTGACTTTTTATGAATTTTTTAGGCTTTAGACATTTTCTTCGCAATATTTTCTTTTTTTGTCCTCTCTGGAGCTGTTTACTGACTTTCTTCTTTCCTTCGCTGTCAAGATTTAGTTAATTTTTTGCCATTTTTTTCCTGTGTGTTGTTGCTTTTGTCTCATTCATTCTTCTTGTTTTTAATATTATTTTACCAGAGATGTTCGTAAACCTCTCTCTCAAATTCGACTGAGTGTTTCTATTTCCCTTGGAGCTGGACAGATTATCTTCCTAGCCGGAATAAACGCCACTGAAAACAAAGTAAGTAGCCTCTCCTTCTATCCATAGAAGCAATTTCCTCTTTACACTCTAAATATCTTGTCGAAAGAAGCACATTTAGAATTATACCAAAAAACTCTTTCTTTTTACAGGCTGCCTGTATTACAATAGCAGCTCTGATGCAGTATTTCTTGATGGCCGCTTTCTGTTGGATGCTGATCGAGGGAATTTATTTCTACTTCTTCGTTGTGAAAGTTTACAACATTAACACCAAGATGTACATGTATCACGTCATGTCATGGGGTAAGTTTATTATTTTAAAACATGCACTGGTAACTGTACCCATACTTTCGGATCGCTAAATCTGGTGTTGTCATGCGGTAAAATGTTTTGATATCCTTCCTTTGTTTATGGGTAGGTCTTCCAGTGATCATGGTGGCCATTTCACTTGGCATCGCTGCTGGAAAAGAAGGGTTACAAAGCTATACGAGTGATAAATAGTAAGAAAAAAATTCAAGGGTTTCTTCTTGCTCTTCTCCTTTTAATTTGTTGCATTTAACTCTTTGTTTTGTTTTTGGATATAGTTTGAAATAGGTATCATTTTATTTTCTGACAATGTGTATATTTTTTCTTGTGTTTCACTTCCTCGAGTTTAGTTGCTGGCTTTCCTCGACTAACAACCTGATCTGGATATTTGTCGCCTTTGTGGCGTTTATTGAAGTTGTGAGTTAATGATTAGTGTTGGTGATTGTGATTGGTATTCCCTGGACTAATTGCTGCGAAAGATTTTTTCCTCTGCTCTTTAAAACGAATTAAGTATTTATGATATGACCCAAGACAATATTTACCATTTTCTTTTTCCTATTTACTCACAAAAAGCTTTGGACGTAGCCGCTGTTTGCGGGGATGCTGGTCAATTTTAACCTACTGATGGTCTTCAATAGCGAGAAAAAAAACCTGTGGAGACAATGTCCTCACAGGCATAAGAGAGCTTCATAAATTCTCCAACTTTTACTACACAGTATGAACAAAAAAAAACTTCTGCCCCTTCCTTCAACGCAAAAATAACTCGTGAAAAAAAAAAAAAAAAAAAAAAAAAAAATGAAAAATGTGAAAGGAGCAGGAGAGAGTAGGATATATTTATATAATTTATATAATTTAACATAAGGCTTTACTTGGCGTGGTTCTTTCAGTTTAGACACTTTTTTGCGATTTCTTTTGCTCATTGGCAGAGATCGAAGCTCCTAATCTTGGTCCCCTGTTGGGAGCTCTATTCCCTGTAAATTACTCTTCATCCCACGCTTGTTACCGAATTAGTAACTTCCTTGGCAAAGATCCTCCCATACCTTGGCTATTCGACATCCATATCTAAATAATCGCTTTTTTTTTATATATTTAAGCTCAACATTTTGATACTCCTACGTGTAATAAGGGAGATGCAATCTGTTGCAGCCAACAGGGGAGACCACCATTTTCAGCAAATACGGTGAGAATCACAGCAAAAAAAAAATAGTGGAAGACATTGCCATGCCCTCCTGTGGGGCTATATTTGCCTAGCTTTCTCATTCCTTAATCAGTAAGGCATCAACATAAAAATTCATTGTCAAAGGAAAGTAAAAGAATGTTTTTTTCTAACTCCTAGTCTTGGCATCAAAACATGCGTGGTGATGATTCCCCAGCTGGGTGTCATGTGGCTATTCGGTCTCCTCTCGCCTGTAAATAAAGCTTTCGCTTACATCTTCACCATACTTAACTCTACTCAGGTCAGTATTCAATGGTAACTGTTAAAAGACATTAATCGCTATTACTTATTTTACTTTCTGACCAAGTGAGACACCATTAGGATGGTCAGATTACATTTCTTTGGAATTTTTAAAACAAAAAGGTGTCAACTATGCAAGAGAAGGCAGACTTCTTTTTCAATTATAAGATGTGCAATTTTCCTTCCTTCTTGGAAATCTTAATAGATAGTTGACTAATTTGTTTGCAAATTGTAAAAATTAATGATCTAAAAATCATTTTTATGCTGCAGGGTTTCCTGATTTTCGCTCTACACTGTATGCGAAACACTCAGGTAAGAAAAAAAAAACATTGAACTGATTATTAACTTTATATCATCAAGTTTTAGTGTTTCAATAAATATTCGAGTGCTAAGAACCATATTTCGTGTTGCTCGTCTATCTGCAGATCAAAGAGCGATTCAAAAGAAAGATGAACATCGTTTTTCCATCTTCTATAAAGGACAACTCCACAAGGAAGAGTCCACAGGTCAATCTAAACGAGGTTGGGAATGTATGGGCAATTTAATTGCAGTCATGTGCTGAATTTGAATCGAAATTGTACTTAAGTTAAATAACTTGATTCAGCCAATCGGAAATAACAACCAAATACTTAGAACAATCACTTAGTTAACAGCAATAAGTCGCTTACGATCGGTCTGAGTTACGATCTGCTGGTAAAAAAAAGAGGTCTGTGTCTGCATTATTGTTAAGCATTCAACTTGATGTCTTTGTAACCTATCATTTTTATGATAATAAGTTTATTTTCTAGGCGATCGTATATTTGCCGGCAAGAATCATCGAAATAAACCAATCTATAAATTTAAATTCCTAATGGCTCTGTATGCTGATGACTGCTTTGTTTCACTTACTTAGTTTATAAACTTCGTATCAAACACTGTTATTAGTTTTAACTATAGGCTTTGGATAGTCACTGAAATTATCAGTTTCTAGAAATTTCTAGAATACGTAGTCATGCTGACATGCACACAAAGGAACTTTCTGCAATATTTTATTAGGTTGCGTAGCTATGGTGTAACACCACCAAAATGGTTTTTGTAAGCTTTTGGAATTATCTGGAACACTTTGTACAAAAGGACTCAATCGTGCAGCAGTAGCAGTTGTTGTTGTCGGGAGTGACTGATTTTTCAGAGAGTTCTAACGAAAGAGAGCTACTGTGGAAGATTGTTAATTTCGAGGAACTTGGGAGACAACTGTGAGATTGTGTCAGTGGTGAGCTAAGATGTAATTTGTAGTGGGCTTAAATAAGTTTATTTAGCATAAAAGTGTACTTCCTTTAAGAGTCGCTCCTTAGTAAGAATATTAAAGTTGTTTAATAGTGTTCTTTCTGTTGGTTAAATTGTACCGTAACAAAAAAATGCCCATAGTAGTAGCAGCTAAAGTTGACGTTCACAGCCATATCATGGTTCAAGCAGGAAAATGACACCGACATTACACTTTCAAATAAACAAATAACTTTTAACGACATCCCCCGTTTAACTCACCGAACCGATTTCCCGAGACACAGACTACACCTTTTCATAATTATTCTAATTATTCTAATTATTCTAATTATTCTAATTATTCTAATTATTCTAATTATTCTAATTATTCTAATTATTCTAATTATTCTAATTATTCTAATTATTCTAATTATTCTAATTATTCTAATTATTCTAATTATTCTAATTATTCTAATTATTCTAATTATTCTAATTATTCTAATTATTCTAATTATTCTAATTATTCTAATTATTCTAATTATTCTAATTATTCTAATTATTCTAATTATTCTAATTATTCTAATTATTCTAATTATTCTAATTATTCTAATTATTCTAATTATTCTAATTATTCTAATTATTCTAATTATTCTAATTATTCTAATTATTCTAATTATTCTAATTATTCTAATTATTCTAATTATTCTAATTCTTCTATTATTCTAATTATTCTAATTATTCTAATTATTCTAATTATTCTAATTATTCTAATTATTCTAATTATTCTAATTATTCTAATTATTCTAATTATTCTAATTATTCTAATTATTCTAATTATTCTAATTATTCTAATCAAATCTATTGAATCTAATTAATCTAATTATTCATTTACCCTTGAAAATGTTTCGACAAGAAACCAAACATGCAGGAATTTAAAGAAGCTCATCCTAATTCACAGATTTTCCCCATAAGCCTTTTTTTTTTTTTCCTGATTTAACCAGCCAATTTAAACAGACACACTAAATCAAAGCCCAAAATCTTATCTTTTCTTTCTACCAACACTGTCTCTAAATTTACTTTGTAGTGTTCGTAGAAGGTAATTAAGGTGCCGTTTCGTAAAGTACTTAAATAATTATAGGTAGGCAAGTGAGCTTAATTAGCGAATTGCGAGTTTTGTATTGTAATGTATTGTAAGTCATGTTCTGTTTAGTAACGTTATGTAAGTAACATGACGCTGTAAGTGACTATTACTAAGTGACTGTTAGTATAAGTAAGAAATAAGTAAAAGTGACTTATCCAATAAGTACAGTAATATAATAAGTAGAGTGATGTTGAGTAATGTAAGTAGAGTAATGTAATGTAAGTTTAGTTTTGTACAAATGTTTCTTCAATAAATGTTTATTAAATTTAAAAAAAAAATAAAAAAAATTAAGTTGACATTCAAAGTTGTTGGTTAATGAACAAATAGATGAATACGCAAATGGTTGAATAACTAAACAGCTAATTTAAAAGGACAGGAAAACCCGCATGATTGGATCGTTTTTGATCAGTTATATTTGCCAGTTTTATTCTTTTTTCTTTTTTTTCGCATCCCTAAGATAAGAAGTAGCATTTTGAATCGAAAATACATCGAATAATCTGGAATTCAATTGGGGCGATGCTAGCCGTAAATGGCATTAACCAAGAGATTATATTCTCTTGCGCAAACTTCATTAAACAGCGATTAAAGAACTTTTACACAGAGTAGACAATTTAACGGGAAAAAGCTCAGCGATAGAAATGCGGAAAATTTCCAAGGGCCTGGCTTTCAAATATCACTACAACGGAGATCAATTAACGATCAACTTTACGTAAACTCACATCGAGTTCACGGTCTAAGAAAATCGAGAAGGAATCCTTTGACTCGGAGTTTGCCGTGCTGTAAAAATATTAATACATGTTATTAACACATGAGTGAGTTAACCCACCAAAGTTGCAGGCCTGCGAAATATTTACCACCACCCACCAACTGAAACGGCAGCATAAACAATAATCATTTCCGTTTATGCATACGAACAGATGGCGTGCTAGCTTTAGCTGCCGTTTGATAAAACAGAAGTTGATTTAAGAAAACTTTCATTTAGCGGAGCTGATAAAGAAATAACCATTCTTAACATCAATTATTTTTGAGCTGCTTCTTTATAAAATTGGAATTATAAAGAGTATTTTAATTCCGATTATATTAAGAAAAACAATGCTTCACATCTGGTGCAAGCTGCCTTTTATCTATTGCTGCGTCTTTGAGGGGAAAAAAAAAGGAAGCCAAACGTCAGGAACAAGCTATCAGAGATCATAATTTGCATTAAACTCTGTCTCGTGCAAAAGGGTTTTATAAGATGCCGTATATCCGCAACTCTCAAGCTGGGAGAATCAAATATTAGTGTAACGATACCTTTTAACAGCAAGATTTGCATATCTTGGCCATGATGAAGTGGATGATGAATGGAACTGAATCCGGAAAAATTTTCAAAACTCTATTAACATGTTGTGTGCTGGGTAAGTACGGCGCTAGTTATTCCTGTTTGTTGTGCGGTAGCTATCAAATTGCGTGATGAGTACAACTGAATCCCACAAAGAGAGCAAAACCTTTTTTAAAAGTTGTGCGCTAGTATAGTAACCAGCTAATTATATCTTGATTTTCCTTTTGCAAAACATTTATATCGATTTTTGAACGTCCTGTGAAGTTTGGCCGAAAGAAACTGTCAGTTGGCGGATATTGGTACTGTTGATTAAAACAAAACAAACCAGATTCTAAAGGTGTCCGCATTAAACTCTTAGTTCGTAATCGGAGAAGGATCTCTTACAAATTGGATTCCTGAAGCCTTTTAGATTTCATATAGTGCAAAGCAATTTAAGATCAAAAAGGACAGGCGAGACATTCATGCTGTGGTCATGTTGTTTACGTCATAGTTGTCTGTACAACAGCTTTAGTAGCCATATTTAGGATAACAGGAACACGATAACTTAGTTGCTATCGTTTTATACCACTATGACAAGATGTGAAAAGGGAAAAACGTGTCGACTTCAGATAGCTGCTGAACGTTGGACGTGCTTAGACAAGAGATCGAACTTAATCATCAGGGTCCACTTAAACTGGCGTTAGATGCAAAGTTAAACATTCGATCCGGTATTTGGAAAAAAATGGTTCAATTGGTGTACTTTTTCCTTTCTTATCGCAAATTAAAACACCATTAATATCCATGAATTTCGATAGCTGCTTTTCTGAATGAGCTGATGGGTTAAAGTGACGTGCACTCAGAGTCAAATAATTCAAACAACCCTTGAAATTGATTATTTTTACGAATTAAAATTCAGCAATTGAACTCCTTACAGCCACATGGAGATTCTTTTTTAATTTAAGTATAGTTCAAATAATAAATAAATTATTAGTCATGTTTAATGGATCACCCCGAAATGATACGATGGTGTTCCTCATTCCAGGGTCATGTTCAATGAATTCCAGCCTAAAGCTTTTCTGAGAGCTTTCGAATGAGGCACTATTCAGATGCCCAAACTGTTAGAGCTTTCAAATTGTTGTTCAGTCATTAACACTCGGAGTAGATGATTGCCGAATGCTCGCCAAGTTGGACGTCATGGACAATTAAAACATACTTGTCTTTTAAATTATTCTCCTTTGTACCCGAAAGCAAACTTTATACTTATCTCATTGCTCTTCTTTTATAAAAAAATCTATGGTGGAGGTTCCGCGGTCTGCTGATCCATAGTTTAGTAACTCCCAAGAATATGGAAAAATCCTCACTAAATTTGGAGACCAACCCCTCAAGATTGAAATTGAGCAGAATTTTTATTTGAGCGGTCAGAATCGATACCTGATTAATTCGCTTAATAAAGCATCGTCCGTTTCGAATTGTTGCGAGCTAAAACGAGACATTTTTTTTTTTTGAATAGCGCACCTTTTCATTGTTATATGGTTTGGTTGCACTCCGAGTTGCCCGTGTAAAAAAGTTTTTCGAAGGACATTCGCGAAGGTCTACTGTACCTTAAAAATGTTTTCTACATGTGAAAAGTTTTGTTCAGCTGGTTGGTAAATTGTGGAGATGCTGCATTTTTTAAAATTTATCCGTCTGCACCCTAGGGAAGGTAATAAAAGTCATGGGTAGATGCCAAAGGGTATGTAACAAATAATCTCCATTAGCAATAGTCTAACTCGAGATCTAATAAACTCTTTCATTGTTTCAAATGTTATTCTTGAGATAATGATCAATTTTTTTGCTCGTTTTCTCTTCTACAGTCATCTTTCATTTGT